GTCTTCCCTTTCTTATAAGGCCATGCATTTTGGATCAAAATACTCACAGAGGTGCATGGTCAGACTAAAAATGAATGTTTGTATTAGGAATAATGTTCTGGCCTGGCTTCTGAGTCCTAGTAAGAAAGAAAAGGTGATATATCTTGTGCAGTCTGGGGTTTACTGAGCACAAGGGATGTGATCAGTAAGGTCTGAAGTCAGATTAACTGGTTCAGCTGCTGACTGTAGAACTAATGATCTCCCTGTTTCCTTGGAGGGAGGCAGGGGAAAACTAACAAAATTACTTGTTGTCTCTAAGAACTGTAGCTGAGAGAGCTTTGTTTGGATCTGGATTTTTGTTTGTTTGCATATAAAAGAAAGGGACTTGTTTGTATGTCAAAGAGAGTAACTTGCTCCTTTCATTCCTGCTAAGAAGTAACTCTGTTGTAATTTTTAGGTAATTTAGGTTACAAAGTAGGAATGCAATGAAAAGATTTTGAGAAATTGAAATGTGATCCTAAAACTTTCAAATTTTCTCAAAAAGAGATTACATCTCAATACTTTTTATTTTTGTGAATTTATGGGAAATTATAATAATTTATATCAATGATAAAACTTAAATAAAGTACTAAAATATAGAAATTTGCCAATCATTTGCCTTCTAAAATGACCTGACTGGAAATTAAAATGTTAGGTCAAAATCAAAACCAGATAAAAGTTTCTCAAAGATTCATTTAAAATATAAGCTTACTATTCTGCAGAATAAATGTGTACAAAATTATGTAGTTGGTAGCAATAAAGCTTTCATGATTCACAGACTAAACAGCCAAAGAAATAGTTTTAGCTATGGTAAAACTATAACACACTGCTAGGGGTGCAGGCATGGCATCAATGCTCAAAAAGTCTGTGAGAACTTCACACAGCAAATGTAAAGTTTTTGTTTTGGGGTAAAATTTCTCAGAAGTGTTTGGTGGGCCAGTGGATTACTGAATTGTAGATTTGCCCGTGTTCTCTGTTCCTTTTTAGGTCTTATGTGGAAAAGGAGGAGGATTTGAATTAAAACAACACCTTTTTCTGTCTGTCACAAAGTTTCCACAAATTAATAGGATTTCTTTTCCTACTAGAAGGGTGTGTTAAACTGGGATTAAGATGTGCTGTATGGAGTTAATTTAATATTATATCTGTATTTGTGCAGCAGTTTTGAAGCCATTATTAGAGATAATAAGATTAATCATAAAAGGATAAGCTTCACTTTGTCAGTCACACAAGGTATAGCTGGTCTTTATGTCTTTTCATGAGAATTAGACAAATGTATTAACAGACTATAAACCAGCATTTACATGGCTACTGTAATGAGCAGTACATACACAGCCCCAAAGCTCCAGAGATATCTAACCTGGGCAGAAGATAGCTTAGAAACTGCCTGAATTTACTCATCCCTGGAGGTTGTCTCTACAGGAAAATTTTTTTTAGGAAATAAAGGAAAAGATATTCAAGGCGCAGAAAACTTTAAAAACACCTTTCTTACATATAAAATACACAGAATATGAAAGTTATTTAAAGAAAAAGGAAAATAGAGGAAAGGTTGGGTTTCTTTTGAGGAGTACTGAGTTACCTCTGATGCAGGATGTACCCTTGCTATAAATATGGAAAAAGGAGAATTTTTGGGCCTGATCTAGCTTTAGTATTTAATTTTTTTGTTTTTTTTTCAGTTTCATGCAGCCTGCATCAGTTTCCTGATCTAGCTCCAAATGCGTCCCACAGAACATGTGCAGGTCAAACTGACATGGTCCATCTGCCAAATGCAGGACAAGAATATTTTAAGTCAATGCTGCTCCTCTGTTTTCTGAATAACACAATATTTACAACAATAAATGCTTTCCTCTCTTACTGAAATTGAGAATTTCTTTGGAGTTCAGGTTCAGAGTAGCCCTGTTCACATTGCTTCCAATACCTTCAGAAGGTACTGTTTGACATTGGCTGCTTGAACAATACAGAAATGTGGAATGAGAAAGCAATGCAGAAAGGTGGCAGAAATGTTAGGGGCAAATGCAAAGGTTGATCCATACACAGATAAAACTCCCACAGGCAATCATTGCCTCTCTTCTCCCACATTCCCACAGTGGCTGAATAATCTGATGATATACCACTGGCTTCCCTAATTCTTTTCCTCTTTTAACATGTAAAATTGTTAGCTGCATTCCCTATGAATGTAGGGAAAAACTCTAAACTTGAATTTGAATTGTGCTGAAGTTAAATAGAGGTCTGAAGAAAACCTGGAATAGTAGGTCTGAGAAGAGTGAATTGCCCCATATCCCCATGGGCTCTGCCTGGAGTAGCTTCACTGCCCTGCTGGGATTCTTTCAGGTGTCCCTGTGCTGGAGTAACACAACACAGGCAACATGGCATGAGGATTTGACTTTTGCCTGCCTTGAGAATGTTGTCAGAAAGTGGGGAATTAAGTATCTGACAAGGTCCTTTGTTCACCTTACATAACCCACTACAACAACTCATAACTGGTTGCAAAAGCCAACCTACAGTGTGGGCTCTTGTCTGATGTGAGAGAAACTCAGGCAGCTTACAGGGAAGTGGGAAATACTGAGTATTACACTATGGTATTAGATGACAAGCTGTTGAAAATTGTCAGGATAATTAAAACTTCACAAAATTCTTTAAATATCTGATAGGACTGTTTTGGATATGTCATATTAATTTAGTAACAAATTATTTGAAAGTCATAAAATAAATCAAGGTTTATATTTTTAGATTAATTTTTTTCAGATCCTAAATATTGTTTTTGTTAATATAAGAAGGCACAGAATAGAAATGCAATTATTTTAGACTCCAAAATCAATTAACTTTACCTGATGTAGTTTGTTATGGAATATTATTCTACCATTACTGCTTAGAAGCTTTACTGTAATAAGGTCCCAGTAGTATTAATGGGAATCTTCTGAATAAATCTTATCAGTCCAAGATGCTCTTATGTTTGTTTGACTATTACTGATACAATGTGTTTATAAATTATGATGCTTTCATTTTTATTCATTTTTTGTTCAACTTGTAATGTATAGTTTTGTATTTGAGAATTAGTTATGAAAAGTGTTAGTTATGCACCCAGAACAATTAACTTCTCAATAAAGTTATTCACATAGGCTTTAGTCTACCAAAATGTTAACTTTCTTTTTACATTACAGTTTTTTCTTTATAAATTCTTGATGTGATTGTGGCAGATGAGGGTACCTACTATGTATGACTGTAACAGACATCACACTTATCCTTTTTAGGATGGGCTAACATTCCTTGCAACGTCAAATCTAATTGTTTCAACAAATTTCTATTAGTGACTTGTGTTTTATAAAGGTTAAATCATAACCTTTTTAATGCAGGAGTCTTAGGCTTCCTGATTGTGCAGTGACATAATTTGTTTTAGACACTAATTTGCATTCTTCCCAAAGAATCCATGATCCCTTGAGCATTGTCTTTTAAAAACTTGTCTTCAGTCTTATACAAACCTGATTTTTATGTAGCTGTCTCTGGAGATGGTTTCATGATGCCAGCTATCTTCTTGTAGGATATGCCATTTTTTATAGTTAAAGAAAAGTAGTTTTGGTAAATAAATGTCAGTGTGCATAATATGGCAGATTAAAAAATCCAGAAAACTTGTAAGGAATCCAAGGACAATAGGGGAGGAACCAAAAGCTAATCATAATGAGGAGTCAGAGAAATTCTAGGGGTGCTATAGATCCATTATCAACGGGAAATAAATTAATACTTAATAATTATAAAGAAGATGTAGAAATATTCAGTAAGACTTTCTGTTCTGTACTTGGAAAGCCATGTGTTTGCATTCCATGAGGATAAGGAAGTGCTTTTCAGGGCATAGATAGACATTAAAGGATAAACACTTTCAGAGTTGCAGATAATTTGTACCAAACAGTCTTTAAAGAATTGAAAAGACATCTGGCATGCTGGTAATTTTTAATAAGCCTTGAAATACTAGACAAAATTCAGACAAGCGGATGGGAGAAAATGTAAATAGTAAAAGAAAAAGGACTTATTTATAAGGTAGCCAGTAGTAGTGTGTTGAGATGAATGCAAAAGCAGATACAGAAGCCTACAGGTCTTTATTTACATTCTTTTCCATGTATCAAAAGCTTGCATCATAGTAAATTTAAAAGGAGAAGTGATTAAGCCACTGCAAACCAAACACACAGAACGTGTGGATATTCCATGAGTTGAAGTTGTCAGATCAAAGTCATACACCGTTTTGGGAGGTATGTTTGAGTCAACCACATCTAAAGGATTGCATATTAAATTTGGTGGTCAAATGGAGTGAACATGGCAGAGATCAAACCAGATGATCCAATGGCCTCTCCTGGGTTTTGATTTTAACAATATATCAAGATGCTTCCACTGTGTTTCAAGCTGGGAAATAGATCTGATTATCAGTTTACTCTGAGGGTAGTAAACGGCAAAAAGTTTATTTTAAAATAATATTTGCATCATATTCTTTAATTATAATTTTCATGTTTCTTTACAGACAAGAAAGTTTCATTTTCTGAAAAGATGTAATTGTATATGTACACGTGTATATATTTGTATCTGTGGATTTCTTCACAAAAAAAAAAAAAACCCAAAAAACCAAACCAACATGAAACATAATTCAAAAAGAAAAAAAGCTTTCAGGGAAAATATTTCTGACTTTTTATAGAGACTAATGACATGCAGTAGACAGTGAAATAATACCTTCAGTATAGGTTTCCCTTTAAAGCAGAGCATTGATTCAATATCTACTTACTGGAATAGGACAGTGGGGCTTTTGTGATGTTGCAGGACATATCTGACCATCACCAAATAAATGTTATATGTTGGACTAAAGGGAATATACAATTTTAATACATGGGATGGGATTTGAAGGAGGTCTTGTGTACTTGAATCCTTGTCTTTTTTTCCAGCTGTGTTGAATTTATTTTATATATATATATATATATATATATATATATATATATATATATAAATGTTATTTCCTCATAGTAATGCATACAGTAATGTATAATATATTCAATATGTTTAATTGCTGGCAAATCAATTTGTTTTAAAAGGTATTAATTCTTCTCACAATCCTCTTAGTATTTCCTGGTTACACACACTGTATTCTTAAGCATTAGTCTTGTAAGCATTAGAGTTCAAAGAAAAGAGAGACAAGATGTATATTGACTTACAGTGACCATATTCTAGTATGAGAATACTCAACTCATTCAATTGTTTCTAAGGTAGTCTAGATGGATATATGCCTGCCTTCATTTTTTGGTTCAGTTTTGGCTTTCCTTTCATAACACAACTGTTCTCCCTAGTTTTTAAGATGTGAAGGTCAAAGAGAGGTGAAGCTGAATGGTGCTGGGAATCTGAGATGCAAATAAGTTTCAGATAATCCATGTGATGCTTAGAGGCCATCTAGTTTCACAGAGCCATTAGCATTCAGGGACGCTCATTAGCACTCAGGCAGGCAGTCAGTACGCATTAGCAAAATGAGATGTGTTGATTAAAGTTACAAATTATGTGTTGAATGTTTAGACTTCAAACCATGGTAGCTTCACATTTATGAGAGTGTATTTCTATATTTTCACATTAAAAAAATGTTGACTCTTTCTAATCTTCAGTGCTTTTTTGGTGTGTGTGAGAATGTGTTTGCATGTGTTTGTGTGTATGGGAGGAGAAAGAAGTGAATGCAATGATAGAAGAGAAGGTGAGAAGTTAAAGCAATTTCAATATTTGATGTTTTTGTTTGAAGTGCCTTTGAAAATCTTACAGTTAGGACTCTCACTGCTCTGATTTTAAAGTAAGAAACAACATCAAAAATATTAAAGACACTAGGAAGATTTTAACCTTTAATCTGTGTTATCATATGTAGTGTCCCATTTATTTAATGAGCTGTAGAAACTAACAATTCAAAAAATTCTGACTCATATTTCAAGAAATAATCAGTGTGTATTATCTGATAATAATGCAGTAGGATCTTGCTAAAAACCATAGGATTATGTGGAAAGCAATGATATAGTAGTTTAATGTCTATATTATTTAATTTTTATCACTATATCATGCTCGTATTGCATAGGTCTATCTTGTGTAAGCAAAATAAAAATGGATGCTATACTTAACATTAGGCCATCAGCATTTTGCATAGCATTGGTAAAATTTATCACCTTTTTTGTGCATTGTGTATTACTGCAGACATTCTAGAATTGCTACCTTAAGCAAACATAGCATGCCACCCCAACACTTGTAGTTCTGTCAAAGGGTCTGGGAAGACCAATTATTATGCAGATGACTGTATTAGATGAAAACAAGTTATGCAATGCTGCTATTGTGAAAGTGACTTATTTGCAGGACTAATAAGGAAGTACTTTACTTGCATTCTTTTCTGGGAAACTTTGTCTAATATCTGCAGCTGAAAGGAACCACAGAGAAGGTAAGAATTATTCTGAGCATGAGTCAGCACAGAATTTCTTTGTTTTCTGGGTCTGATTTGAATACTCTAAATCCAGATGTTGCTTTTGGGAGGAGAAAGGTCTTGCCATATTACTCAACAAAAAGGTCCTTGTGGGGAAAACCTTGCTGTGGGTGCAGATCATCTCTGAACACGAGATATTGTATTGAAAAACAGCATAATGTAACTTCTGTTTTTCTTTTTCTGATTGTGTTGCCTTAAGAATGTTCTTAGTGGGCTGGATGGAAGTGTCAACTCAATATCAGATGTTGAGTTCAACTCAGTACTTTCCTTTTGACATTGATGTCTCTGTTCCTGGGCATCACTTGGCAGCATTCATCAGCTGCTTGGGTTGCTGTCAGGAATGCTCTGTTTTACATCCCTCACTAGTTCCCTTGCTATTGCACTTTTGATGCTCTGATCTCTTCCTTTAGTTCATTTGTTGTAGTCTGGCTCATTTGGATTTTCCATTTTGTTTTCTGTAGCTGTCTTGCTCTCTGTAAGGAGTTTGAGTTTGGGAGAAATCCTCATTGGCAGCAAACAGGGGAGAGTATTTGAGATGTGATAGGCAGGATGCTTAGTCCAGAATTACCATTCATGCTTTGTTTCTATATGTTATTTCCTCCTTGAAGTAGTCTTTTACCTGGTATATTTACATTGATAACAGAACCTGTTTCCTACTTGGGATCCTCTTCTTAAGTTCATAATGTTTCTGTTTTGGTTTGTGTTTGGTGGTTATTTTGGTTATTTTTTATTTTCATCACTTGTATCTGCATTACTTGAACTCCAGATTCTATGTTTCAGAGAGAAGTCTGTTTGTTTCAAGCTTATTCCTTGGGTAATGCAACAAAGATATCTGCCAACATGAGGTGCTGAAAACATAGAATTAAAAAGAGACAAAGTACAAGGTAAGTCTGGTGGGTCTTAGTACGTCCATCTGACCTGAAGGTCAGATTTACATTTGTACCACCAGGACCGATATGTATCAATAGATTTTTCCTTTAGCTCACATCATTTAGTTTCAGTGCTATCTATATTTTTGGGCTCCATGAAATTTTGTGACACTCAGTTTCATAAACTGATTTATCTAGTTCCTACTACATATTAAAAACCCAACTCCAGACCTCCTTCCTATTGCTGTTCTTTTGTTCTGGTTTTGCCTTAGAGAATTGCCAGCCTTTGCTTTATAGTTGTCTCTAAATGCTTGAGAGAGTTATGACTCCAGAAGAAAGCACAGGTTGCTCTGTTAGAGCATTCATAACATTAGAACCAAGACCTGTTTTAAATGAAACTGCTTATAACTACAAAGAATCCTCACAGTGGCAGGGTCCTTCAGACATTACTCAAAGTGAATTATTATCCATCTAGTTATTAATAGCATTGACAAATCCTGTTCTTTTAAAGCTAAAACTTGTGTGTGAGATGATATTCTGTTTTGGAATCTAGAACCAAATACTAAATAAAATGCTGAAAATTTACCAAACTGACATTTTAGGCTTATTACAAGTCTTTGAACGTTGGTTTCTAACCTCATAATCATTGGGATAAGCATTGTGATTATTCCCAAATGAATGAGAAATAAGACAATTAGACACCCTCTGATGGATTCATTCAGTCTTAATATATTTTTTTTAAAGTCTATCTTATGCTGCAATCATAGAGCAAAAGGCTTTATTTTTACAGTAAGTATATACGTGAAATTAGTATTACACATGTTTCAGAGATTTTCAGTAGAAATAGTAATCTGGTTTTCTTTGTTGCTGGGAAAGTATGCTTTTAAACTGAAGCAAGTAGATGTAGTGAAATTTCAGCTAATTCAAAGAATAACAACAGCAATGTATCTAAAAGGGTTAAATATTATTAAAATATTATTTTACAATATCAAAATATTATTATAAATATATTTTTCTCTACCCAGATGTTATTCAGCTGTTTTCCAGGGTGTGCCACTGTTAGTGAAGATTTCTGAGACAGGAATAAGCATGGCTGGAGTGAATTCCTGTTGTTACCCATCTTTACTGAAGAGGATCTGTCACTAATCCAGGGGAGCACAGGTAGGTCCTGTACAGCAGCCAGAGTGTTGTTGGTCAGAGCTGGATTTTTGGAATCTGAGAACAAATAAAGCTGTATGAGTTTGCTTTCTGAAGCTTTCAAAATCAGTTGGGAAGTAAGAAATGTGTCTAGTTTATGTCTCTTCTGTTTGGTAACTTTTTATCATGTTTCAAATATATAGAAACATTTCACAGGAAAAAAAATTCAGAAAGGTCAGAAGTGCTTCCATACTTGGGAGTTCTGAGAGGTATATTTAAGCCCTGGCAGACTTTTAACCTTTTCTAGCTTACAATAAGTTTGCCATCCTCTTAAAATCCTTTGATTGTATGGCTTTTGTTCCCTTGAAAGGGGGACAGGGCTGCCTGGTTACTCAAGCAGATGCCAGGCTTCTGATTTGCATTTGATGAAAGCCACTTGTGAAAGCAGAATCAATGCTCAGATTTACAAACAGTAAATGTGGGTATTGGCTTGTCATTTCTTCCTAGGTTGTTGTCCTATAAAGCTGTTCAAGTTCCTCTCTTCACAAGAACATCTTCCTGCTTTCCCTGCTGCCTATAAACATTATGTTAGAGCGAGATGAAGGGTGAGTAATTCTTTTTACTTCCATTACCTGTTTCTGTTTTTTTTTTATTCAACAGAAAAAAGGAAAAGGGAAATAAACGAAGAATGAAAATGAAGCTATTTAGAGTAATGGATTATAAGCTGATGAACCACAATAACCAAACTGTGTGTCTGAAGGGGCCTAATTACAGAACACCAGAGGCACAAGAGGGAGCTTATTGTGGACAACAAAATAGTGCTCTATTAATGCTGTCACTGTACTGAGTACAGCATCAGCATTAATTTGTGTGGTTATATCCAGGTAGAGACTAGTACAGGATGCATCAAGAACAACAGAAATTAGTCTGAAGGGGCTGTATATCAAAGCAAAGCTAGCAGTGAGAGTGTCTTTATTTTGAATGAGGCAAACTGAAAGCAAGATGGCAGCGACTGAACCAGTGTTTCTAAAATAAGGGTGTTTCTGACTAGTCTGTATGTAAACTCCTAGTGATTAACATCTAAGATGTGCCTATATATGTTGAAGTACATGAATAAGAGAATCAGCAAGGATGATTTGAAGTTCAATCTATTTGAGTCTTTTTATGCCATGAGATCAGGTGTTATAGACTGTATCAAGACCAGCACCCAGTAAAAGCAGTTGTGGATGTGTCTTTTCTCTCATTTAAGAGTGTCTATTCTTTTTGCTTTGGATATGTGGTGTAACATTATCATTTAATGCCTAAGACATCAGTAGAAAAAGCACATCATCAATAGTGTGACCTAGTAAAAGGACTAGAGGAGAGGTGCTGCAGTTTCCCCTTAACATGAACTTGAAAGAATCAAAGTTGCTTCGGCTTGGGTGTCCTACTTCACTGGTGTTGCTCCACAAAACCTTGTTCACTGTGGTAAAACATAGCCATTCTAAAAACTGAAAGCTTCACATGTTAAAGATGAACACTTTTTATAGTGCAGGAGGTCAGAAAGAAAACTCACCCACAAGCAATAGGACTGAATATAAATCCTAAGGTATTCAAAAGCTCGTTCTTTGTCTTGGCTATTTCTGCTTTTCTGGGTAGGGCTGGGCAGGGCAGGGCAGTGCATGGGCTTCTGAGCCAGACATAAATGAGGAGCTGTACTGCAACTCTTCCTGCAGTCTGGTGTAGCTTAACCCTCCTGGGCTAACTCAGCTTTCTTCCTGTGCTACAGCTGCTGTGTCAACACAAGATGAGTCAGTTTTTGTGGGTTTATATCCAAACAGCATCACTGAACTGCTTCCTGGGTCTGATCATGTATGGCTAGTGCTTCTTTGGGTATCTAGAAATGTAATTCTAGATGGATATATATGTGGGAAATTTAAACAGATTTACAAATTATTACCTTATTAGAGTCAACTTCTATTTTCCAAACTCGTGTGTGCATCAAATATGCCAAAATATTTTTCAAATGTAATGTTACAGATAAAGTGTTTTTACTCTTTGTTTTATAGTGCAAATATTTTATGAATTTATTTTTCAAAATCATAATTTCTCATTAAAAAAAAAAAATTATTGCTGTAATACCAGACAATGTCCCTTGACAAATAAAAAAGAAACCAAAAAAATTTAGTGACTACTTGCCTCGTAATACACAGGGAGATCAGGTAGGCTGTTGTGGCACATAGATATCCATATTTGGAAACTTAAAGTGGGAATACCTTCACAGAAACTCCAGGTTTAAGTATTTTCATTGTTGGGATTTTGTTTGCTTCTTTAGTTTTCTTAACTTGTTAAATAGGAGGCAAGGTTGCATTACTTGATTTCTTCTAGGCCTGGATTTAGTCCCCAAGTATAATTATGGTTTAAAGCCTGACTGCAGGTATCAGGGCATGAGTTTGGTTGCCTCAATTGCTTGAAATTTCATGCTTCATCTGGTTGTTCAGTTTCAGAGTATAATATGGAAATTTTCATCCTGAAGTCAGGTATTATGGTACAGCTATACCCATTCCAATGCAGGAGTACATGAGCTGATGTGGTAAGAGTCAAGTGAAACCTGTAGTGAGAACTGGGCTGGTGTGTGAGGAAATTTGTCTTGATATATGTCAGTGTAAAGAGAGTCAGTAGTTACAGTGAACCTGCTTGGCTTAAGGTGTTACTCTTGCCTTCTTCAATGAGATTTGAATCTACTTATGTTCATTTTTTTGGGGGTCAGATCATACCCCAGGTAAACTATTTATACCTGCTCAGTTTTTAGGTTGAGGGCATTCTAAAACTTTCAGGACCAAAGTTTGGAACAGCCTTGGACAGCTGTGGCCAGGAAACAAATAAAGGTACAGTTTCCATACAGATATATGATCAGGAGGCAGGAATGGATAAGGACTATTTCCAGATGGACAAATCTCTCCATATTCATGAGAACCAGTTCTCTGACAGTACTATAGCAGCTGCTTCTTTTGCCTTTCCTCTACTGTCTTCCAGTCACACCAAGTAACTGAACTTTCTTCTTAGTTAACAGATTTCATTACAAACTTCACTCTCTTATGGTTCTCTCCCTTTCCTCTCATTCTCATATTCTCTCAGATTTGAATACTTGTTAATGGCCTTCCCAAATTAGAATTAGTTCTTGTTATTGTTTTGCATACTATTGTGTATACCTCTTGCAGACTTTATTATTCCCATTTCATGCCCCCTCTGCATTTGCCTCTTACCTGACCACTGCTTTGTGACTCAGTCTTTATGGGCCAACTCATCCCTGCATTTGAAAACTGACTCTTATATTTTGGCACTGCCCACCAAATTCCCTCTTAAAGTCTCTCATTAAATCTCTTTCTCTCAGTTTTTTGCCCTTCACTGCATCTCCTTATGTCCAATCCAGTTCTCAGTTGTGGGTTTGTCTGAAAAGAAAAAAAAAAACAAACACCTGTAACTACAAAGAAAAAAAAAAAGACACAGAACACCATCCTGCAAATAAAAATTTTAGAGTGATCTGTATGCTCCCTTATTGCATGATCACTCATCATTTTTTCATTATCTTACCAATATTCCACACCATTCAGACCGGGGATCTGACTTTCTGAGTCATCCATAAAGTGCATCTTTTCCAACACACTGTGAAAACCAACAGACATTTTGTTGAGAACCCAGTTGTTTATGTATTCAGAAAGAGAGTTACAGTGGGAGTTCATTTTCTGTGATCTCTTTTGTTTCAGATGGAACAGATGGCTGAGCAAAATAAACATCTGTAAGTGAACTGTTAAACGTGTGTGACAGTGTAAAGGGAAGCATGGACATCAATACTTATCCACAAACTATTTCTGAGGGAAGATTGGAAAAATTTTGATTTAACACATAAATCGGTAGAAATATGCTGAGAACTGACAAAAAAAAAGAAGAAATCACTGGCTATTTCAGTAGTCAGTAATGAGTGATCTGCTGTGCCCCATACTACACAAAAACCTGTAGGCATATCTGTTCAGGATCATGGGATTTCTTTTATAATCATTTTAAGGTAAGAATTCCTGTAAGCTAAGACAAAGACGAGGTTGTGGAATAATTTATGCTTTTGGCTCTTGGAAAATTATTGGAGACTATTTACTCATATTTGGTGGTTACTACTTGGATGATGGGGAGGAAGTTTTTTCTTTGTTCTAAGCACACTAGAAGGAACAGAGGATTTTCTTACTTTTTTATTTTCTGTCTGTTTTTCTAATGAATGTAATGTGAACTTTGAGCTTTATACAAATATATGACAGTCTGCAAGCCTGGAGTCTCTACTTCTATAATTGTTGTTTGATTCAACAGTTATAGATATGCACAATAATAAAAGTTATTAGCAGTGAAAAATAATGTAAATTGCATAATCTCACATTTTAAAATTTTAAGATAAAACCCTCTTGTGATAAATAAACTTCTTAGAACTTGTTTTAGATTGTAGTGTCTTGGATGAAATCCTGATTCTACAAAAGAGTAGTGTGCAAATTGACAATGACAGAGCTGGGAATTCCATGAGGCTTCAACTTCTAACACACTTAATGACCAATATCAGGCAGAGATATATTTAAAGGAGGATCCCCAAAATGGAAAGTTGTATATTCTTGTTTATAGCACATATTCATAGTTTAATTTAAGTAGAAGTAGAGCATGTCCTTAATTTTTACATGACTGAGTTTTTTTTTCTGAGATGGACTTACTGAATTCATAACTCACTTTCACTGCAGACCTAATCCTATTTTTCATATTGGTTGAGTCTGGTCAAGGACTTTTATTTCAATGGTAAAACCAAGAACCCAGGATTTTACAAACTAGGAGACCCCAATATCAAATCTAAAGATCTCAAGGTTTTTGCCTGCAGAGAGAGTTCAATTTTTTTCAAACAACTTACCTTGTTCTATTGCAATAAATTGAAATTCTATAGTGGTGTTAACACTGTTGTAATAAATCAGTCTTGTCTTGTGGTAGTAAAGAGCAAAGAACAATTTAGGGCATTAAAAGACTCTTAGATAATACCAGAGCTGTCAAGCTCCTGTTCTTGAAATCTTTGATACTTCACTTATCGCCAATTTACCTTGGACTCATTTTCAACTTTATCTAGTTCATTAGCTACAGACAACAAACTCAATTTGACTCTCTTTTAATATAAGATTTCTGGAAAAAATTTGATATGTAAGTTCAATATCTTTGGTGCTCATTATTTCTTTTTACTTCAGGTCTTTGAGAAACCTGAGCATTAAACTATCTAATAAAAGAAATAAAGAAAGAGTAAATGAATGAAAGCTGACTTTGGTGCATTTAGCATACTTTTCATTTTCGAAACTTTGTATCTGTTTCTGATTAAATCCACCCAGCCAAACCTGTTTAAGTTCTGTAGTCAAAGAAGAAATTAAAAACATACAAGTAATTCTAGGTGGATGCTGTCCAAAATTGAAATCAGCTTTCGAAAGAAAAAAAGGCATGAAATTCAGGACTTGGAAAGGAGTATACCATGCCAAGGCAGTCATTCAGGCATATAAAGCATTTTTCTTTAAACCTCAATGAGCAAAGTAGGACTCTGTCTCTGATTTTCCCTAAGTCAGGTTTTTCCTTCTTTAGCTGCTCTTGACCAAATTGCAATAAACAATTATAATGCTTGTCAGCCACACAGCTGCAGTGTTAGGAAGCACTTATGTTCCACAGTGTACAAATAGCACAAGGAGGACTTCCCATTTTGTGTGTAATTGTCAGTGTCTCCCCTTCCCTCTGCTGTCAAAAATAAGAAAAGACTTAAGAATACAAAAAGTTTTAGCAAAGCAGGATAAAATTAAATGCAGTGTTATTGTGGGTGTACTTCTCTGCAACAAATCTTTATTCATCATTCTTTCACTTGAAAGGAGAATTGAAAAATGTAAAAGAACAGAAAACAGTAATTTAAATAGAAAATACTGTGTTATTTTGAAAAATAAGGTGTTAATTTCCAATTTTCATCTGCCTTTGCTTTTTAATAATACATTTTATTTCAGTCTTTATCTATATATTTAATCACATATTTTTGTCAATGTACTTGACTGTAGTTTGTATGGACATGATTTATAAAAATCAAAAGAACTAGAATTTGTCTAAAATACTTAGGGAAGGAGGTAAGACCAAAACAGTACTAGAAGCAGACATACAAAAGTCTAGATTTTAGAGTTCATTGGGTGTTCTACCTCTCCAAAAACCAGAACAAAGTGTAGGATCAGGAGCCAAATTTATGCTTGATCTGGAAGTATTTAAATTTGAGGGTTGCAAGCAGAGAACTCCCTCTTTTCTCAGCTACTTGAGTACCGATCACAGTGATATAATTAACTGCTATGCATAGAAGCAGAGTTTTTATTAATCCAAACAAATCCAAGACCACAGCAGATGCGAGAAGCACGAATACCTTTTGTTGCACACAAGAGTTATGGAGGAGAGGAACTGTAGCAGCTGAAGTTTTGAGTGAACAAGGGTAGCTTGCTGTAATCTGTTTTAGGAGAAGGAAGGAATGGATTACATCAGTCTGAACCACAAAAAAGGAGATACCTTTACCTTGCAAAGCAAGCAGAAGAAGGAAAAAATTCACTCATCTTCAGCTATCTGTAGACAGCATGACTATATCTCATCTGACTACACTTCAGTCATGTGAAACCACTTTAACTAAATTCAGAAGTAGTTCCTAATTTGAAATCGGAGACAACTTTGTAACATTTCCTGCAGGCAAAAATATTACTTAACAAATGACATTAATGGAAAGCAGAAACTTCGACCTTGATCAAGGTTGGTTTGTCAGTGGTTAACTCGGCCCAGGTGCTTTGGTTTAACTCTGTGGAAAGCAGTGACTGCTAAGCTGGTAGCAGCTCATTCTGAAACCTTTCTGGTGGATTTACAGGTGTAGTGTAGTTTACTCAGAAGTTGTAGTGTCACTGCAGTTCACAGGATCCAGCCAGGATTCCCTGAGGCACATGGTAAGTTATTCTAAAGGTCTGAAAAATTTTGACAATTCTTCTTTTCCCCATACAAAATTAAAGGCTGTGTCAATGCTAAGGGAAGATCTGTGAGAAAAATGCCAAATTATCTGAGAGATCTTGGTACCCGGCTTTTCTGTAAGGATATATTAAAGATTCAGATTTTCTCAGATAGGAGGTGTTAGTGTCAGTCATGAAAGTCCCCATTTGGAGCTGGGCAGAATCAATCCTTGAGGCCTTGAGATCTTGTTGGAGTGGGGCTGGAAAGGTACTCCTAAATAAAACTTTTGGCTGCCACAGTACTTCTCTCTGGAAGATTTTAATATGCATTATGCTGATGACTTTGAGTGAAGAATCAATCTGTGACTCCTTTTAGAGCAAGTGCAAGGATTCTAGTTGGAGATAAAGTAGATAGGTTGGACTGGAAAAGGACTGAGGGGAATCAGATATTAAAAGGGTACAAAAATAGGATTTAATATTGCCATGATAATCACAATGTACAAAGCAGCTTCGTTCATTTTGAGGTTCTTTGTTTTGTGATTGGTAAAATACTCTTTTGACTTGTGTCATATGTAATGGCAAAGCCTTGGATATTTTGAACTAGGAGCCTAAATTAATGTGTAGATATTTATGCATTAGTTATATTGTATTTTTCTGGCATATTTATTGGATTATTAATATTTAACATTTTTTAAAATGAGTGAAGTGCTTCCAATTTTCTTCTGAGGGTTGGCGCAGACTGTGTTGGCTATAACTTGATTTGGCCCTGGAAACAGACAGCATTTCCATTGACCTATATATCCATTTCTGCACTAATTTACCTCCCTTGCTTGTGCTTTTGTGGCAATTTACAGGCCTATTTGTTGAAACACATCACCAAATATCTTTGTGGATAGATGTGGTGCTCAGTCTAGCTTCACAAAGTGTTGAGGTGGTCACAAGAATTAAAGTTAGCACAGATTTTCTTGGTAGAATTTTTCTGCTTAGAAATATGGTCTTGAAATTCTGCATTTAGGCAATGTACCATTCCTTTTCCTGGCTTTTTGCTCACAGTTCTTCATGTCTACCCTCTGATGCATTAGTGCAGCTGGTTTGGGGTCATGTAGTGAACTAGATCTTTCAGTGGTTTTTCAGCAAAAACAATCTGGGCAGCAACCCGTGCATTTAGCACTCAGTCTGGCAGTGATTGCACCACTAAAACCAAAGCATAAATTTTTGCTGATGTTTTTGCTGCTCCTGTATCTCCAAGAAAATATTTTTAAGAAAATATCACCTCCCTGATACAGAAATAGAATTATGACCTTAGTTTGTCAGTGATAGTCTCTAGAACTCCATGAAATATTTATATTTTTGCCTTTGTACCTACATACCATTAACAAATTGGAATTTACATCGAAGACTGATAAAAGAGTTTGAGTCGTGACTAATGAAATGTATGCCTGAGTATGATCTTTCTTTTCAACCAGCAAGCAATAAAGGTTTTTTGCTTGCAAAGCTACATGTTGAAGCAAAGAGCAATAAAGTAAGGGGAAAATAGAGAACTTGTCAGTTTTGTCAATTTTAACAGGCCTACACTCCTCATCAACAAGTTCAATATCAGCTGAGTGTATTTTCAGTACATTACACTCAATTTTGTTGAACTTAATGATAAGATCATTAGGCAAAAAAACACACAGGAAAGAATCTAAGGGTTGATGCAAAGAAATAATAGATCTGATTACAAGGTTATGTTCTTGAATCTTAATGCTCTGTTTCATTTGGGGAGAAGTTGAATTTTTACACAGAAGGTAAAGGGCTTTCTTATTGAACTGTGTACATATCATTTTATGAAACATCAATATAATCTCTCTCTCCCTCATCACCCTAGTGCATGTGCACCTGGGTTTTTTTTGCAATTCAGCATTTCAGATCACAAAACTGAAAAATATCAGAGGCTATAACCTTTGGATATTTAAGGTACTCACACTGATACAATAGGAGTTGTACAGCAATAAGCCAAACATCTATTTAATACCTACAAAATCTATTCTGTGCTATAAAGCTCTGACTAATGCTTTTTCTGTAATTGGAGCTAACAAGTGTGTGATCACCTCACTTCAGGTGTAATCTACAGTAATTAGCAAATACATAATTATGCTGTGAATAGATATTGACCATTCTTTCACTATTTATAAAGCAAGATACCACATGAAGAAAGCTGAAAATCTTAATGCAAGATACAGTTAAGTTCACTTCAACCTAAGGTATAAACAGGAGATATTACAATATACAGCTGATTATTTTAACCTCAAACATGTCCCAGTGAACTTTCTGTAAGGTCACAGCCAGCCCACATTGAAGACAGGAATAAAACTAAAGACCTGCCAATTTAAGGCAATGACTGTCATTGTTTTTTGCTTTTGTGGACCCCTAAAGGTTTTCCAGTAGTGATTCTGACTCTTAGAAATTTCATAAAGGTCAAAT